AAAAAAAGGCAGTGGCATGCATTACAGTGCATGCCACATTATTTCCCTTATATCTGCAGTGTGCTTTAATAACTTGAAGGGAAATTATTTCCAGAGAAACTATAGGAAGATATATTTGTTCCTGGAAGGAATTTACTGAGTAGACTGTATCTCTTAAGCCTTGTCCTTTTTAAACTTCATGCATCTAGATATTTCAGATTTTTCACATATGTAAATATTTTAATCCTTTTAGTGTTTTTTGTTGCCTATCTTCAGAGATTTCATAAGAAGTGAAAAAAACAGCAAGTAAATTTCTGGTTCTACCAGAGTCTAGCAGAGTCCCCACTTGTTTACCTAACTATATACAAAATCCTGATCCACTTAAGGTCTAATACAAAACTTCTCCAGCCAGCTGAAGGAGTTCCATTTGCTGCCATAGTTTACCCACCAAACTCTTGTAAGCCTTCAGCACACAGATCATACTAGATTTCTTTTTATTCTGACAGTATCTAATTGCAGCCTCCTTCCTGGAAGCCTTGTGCTTGATGTTCCTACAACACACATTCCCTCATTTATTCATTAGTGCTAATTTCTTAGTCTGTTTCCTTTAAAAATCAATCATAATGCTTAAATTTCAAGACTTTATCATCTGCTGAGATGGAGTGTTGACATACTGAAAAGAACTCAGAATAGTCTATGTTTTTTCATGGTGCTAGGGTCTTATAATGCATTACAACAAACATCATGCACTAAAAGAGATGTCTTCTATTTCAAGTAGAATGGACATGAACTAAGGAAAAGCTTAATTCAGTTTGCATGGATACTCATTTCAGTTAACATTACTCAGATTTCCATAGAATAATATTTTAGGGAGTTATTCTGTATAATGCTCTCAGAGTAATGTACTTGCATTACACTTTATAACTCCATGTGTCATCCTTATACTATCTGGCACTTCCTTTTTTCCATTTTGTTAAGTAGCCAGGGGCCTACTTGCAATATAAGGATCATTTTATGTGAAAAAGAAGGCAGAGAATAGGGTCCTTTTGTGTAAGTTAAGCTAAATTCTGACCCATGCTTCTAATAGTTTTCTGTCTTCCTACAAAATATTCTTCACTTTCATCGTCTTCCTTTATATTGAAATCTAAGAAAAAGTAGCTTTTCAACACTTTTCATCCATCCTGAAGTCTTCTCTTATACGATCCCCTTTGCTACTGTCCAACAGTCTCTTTCTATTCTCTCTAGATATTTCTAGAATACTTTTATATTTCTTTTACTTGCTTAGGCAGTGTTGTTATATTTGATTTTACTTTCTTTGCTTCCCTTACTTTATGCTTGCTAGATTCCATGTAGTCCTTTCAATCTATTCATGCGTTGGTTTGGGGGAGTTTGGTGGTTTTGTTGTTTTTGTTGTGTTTGTTTTTCTGAGGGTGAAATGAATAATGCAAATGACTTTCCTGCTACCTAACAGAAAGAACTATGTAGCATTCTGTCTGTTCTTTTATTGCTTTACTTACCTCCCTGCAGTGAGTGGTGTCTTTTGATCAACTTTCCTCAGTCTTTGCTTTTGCTAAACAGCTGAATTTAATTAACTGCTGTATTTTATTAAAACATATCTTGACTTCATAGCTTAAATAGCAAAATAGCAAGCTACAGTTTGTAGCAATCAAGTCTCTGTTTTCTTAAGAAAATGGCTTATTTGTTTTATAGTAAGAAAAGAAATGGCATGTTAAGGCAAACATAGATAATATTTGTTCAAATTCATATAGCATTTGGTATTTCCATTTTCTTTCAAATAATGTAGCTTTAGCAAAGAAAATAGATATGAAAAAATATATGAAAGCAAAGACAGCACTGTATGTAGAGTAAATGCTAAATTGTCATACAACACACCTGGCATGAATGCCAGATTTGTAAGCAGTACCTCTTGTGATTAAAACATCTTGATACATTCCATAGCTAATATCCTATTCCACAGCAGTGTCTTTCAACTAAAAGACTCAGAGTGTTTATGAATATAAAAGTAAAATATAACCTGGCACTAAATAGTGTTGTTATTCAGAATTTAAATAACTGACATAGTAGATGGTGAAGTATCTTACTCAAGATACAAGAATATTTTCCTCTTATGTACATTCTGCCAATCTCTGCCAAAACTTACCTTTGAAGTTCATTCTTAGGAACTCACATTTGGCTCATTTCACTTAGAGTGCATTCACAAACTCCTCTGTCCTTTACTCATTATGTCTGACCATGTCCACATCACGAGTCTCTTAGCATACTGAAAAACATTCAGATATAACAATCTGATATTGGTGCATTATTCTGGAATTTTCTATATAAGGGATGTAAGATCCCTTATACAGGAATATTTACATAGGTTTTGGAGTAATGCCCTGCAAAAATCTAGCCAGGCTATAACAAGGAAATCCTTGTTAAGGAGAAAAAGAAAACTGTATCATTTCCAATATCGAAGAATAAATAGTAGTTCTCTAAAATTACTGTTAGGTGAATATATTACAAATGTAAATAGGTCAATGCATTCCAATGCAATTTGTTCAGGAATTT